AACGGAGTTCGGATGAGGAAGATATGCCTATCAGAAGTTAGGCTAAAATAGGGGAGTTCCGCGCGTGCGGAACCAAAACCGTACGTGTGGGAGAGCCAGGGCATGTGTGGGGGCACGTGCAATTATTTCAGAAGCAAAATAGTTTCTAGAATTAGACTTTCACAAGTGTGGGAAGCCCCACTGCATGTGCGGCTCTGGGCAAAATTCTGCTGCTGAAAATATCTGTTGGTCCTATCACTTGTTCTTCCATTTTTCAAGTTAGGTTTCAACTCAAATCACTCAAAAATATGTAAAACTAATAGAAAACATGAGATTATGATTGCTTTCTAAATCAAAACATCAAAAATACAATGAATCTTCAAGCAAGATCAAAATCCTTGTTTAGTTCTCTTTCAAACTTTTTCAAAACTTCTTCTTCTAAATTCACATAGATCTTCATTTCATATATAATTTTATGAATTCAAACCATACAAAACCTCAAGATTAAGACTCAACTTCTCACAATCAACTTCAAGATAAACAAATATAAGGGAATTAACTCTCAAATCTAACAAGTGCAATAAATTCATGTTTAATTTCAAGAGTATAATTTGCTCAACCTTATGAGTTACAAACCCTAACTCATTTCAGTGTGAAATCTCTAATTTTACACAATTGAAGAGGTATTCCAAGAGTTTTAGTTCATTTCCACATACCTTGAATTAAATCACTATAACAAAATGCACCTTTGGCGACCAAAATTGGTGACTAAAAAAAATTTAGTCCTCAAAAGTTGTGGAATTGGCGACCAAAAATTTTTTTAGTCACAAAAGTACAATATTTAGCTACTAATTTTTTTTAGTCTGGGTATATTGATTATTGGTGACTAAAACAAAATTTAGTAGCTAAAAATACCAGAATTCGTGACAAAAAAATATATTTTAGCCGCTATATATTGAGTTTTGGCTACTAAAACCATTTAGTCGCCGAATGTAAAATAAAAAATTATTTTTTTTATCTTTGGCGACCAAAAGTTTAGTAGCTAAAAATTTATTTTCAGTGACTAAAAAATATTTTAGTCGCCAAAGAATTAAAATATTTGGAGAGAGGCATTTCAAATTTTGGAGTGATTTATAAAATTAATTGGCGACAGAATGTTTAGTGGCCAATTGTTTAAAATCACCACTTGTTTCAAACCAAATCCTAAACTAACTAGCGCCCCTCTCCCTCTCCGCCGCTTCTCTTCCCTCCCTCTCTCATCGTCGCTCCACCAACCACGGAACAGCTCTCCTCCGCCGCTCCTCCTTCCGTTCGCTAGCAACCGGAGCACCGATTCACCTCCTTGTTCATCACCGTCGGTTGAGATCCATCACCCACGGAAGCTCGATCAGTGGTTCCTCCCTCACAAAGAGTGATGAGGCCACTGGTTTCTTTCCCCCATTATCATCATCATCTGAGGTCGTCTCATCACTGATTGTGCAAGTAAGAGCACAAAATTTGGGTAAATTTTGAGTCTTAGTTTCTGGATTTTTTTTAGTCATATAGTTAATTGGGTGTGAATTAGAATTTAGATTATAATTTACATTTGAATAAGAATTTAGGGAAAATTGGATCTGGTGATTAGCTCTGTTTTTGTTAGATATGGTGATTAGCTCTATTTATGTTCTGGTTTCAGAACTGCAGGTGTAGTATTTTAGTTGGATATGATGATTAGCTCTGTTTTTGTTGTTTTTGTGTTATTGAAGTTGATTCCCACATGTTGGTTTACTAGCCTTTGACATGCAAAGAAATTTTGTGGGAAACAATATTAGTTCTTTTTTTAATTTATATATATATATATGCTTGATATTGTTCTGTCTATGTTGATTTATAAATCTCTGTCTACTTGATTTGCCGCAACTTTAAATTCTTTCATACTTCCAGGAAAGAGAAGTAATGGATTCATGGTTTTTATGTGCAATTAATGTCAATTGAAAACCTGGTTTGTAGAATTCAACAATGGTTTTTAAAAATGTTCATTCTTGTTTCATTCATACAAAGGAACATTTGCTAGTTCTTTTCCATGGATTCTGAATTTGTCCAAGGCACTCAACAATAGAGTACCAACTCTAAATTTTTTTTCCCCACACTATGCTTATTATTATTATTTAAATAATATAATTTAGGGTGTTGGATTTTGGTTATCTGAGAGCCAGCCACTTGAGCATGGATATTGGCTCATTAAGTCCATCCTTGCACACAATCCTCATACTGAGCAAGTTCTGCTTACCATTGTTTTCTTTAATCTGGTACTTTGATTTTGAGAGTTCCATTCATGGTTTGTCTTGTTTGAATTTAAAGACTAGTAGTGAAATTGCAAAAAAGACTAATTTCTCTTTTCTTTCCTTCTTTTAAGGTGCTGTCAGAAGAAAGAGGCTACCAACATTCAGTTAGTGAACAAGAAGTTGACTGTAGCAAAGAGACTCTTGAAGGAAGAGCATGATTGCCTTCAGAAACAGGTTTCGCATTTGGTATACGAGAATGAATACATGTGGCAGCAACTGCAAAATGTATGTTCAAATCATTATATGCATCAACTATTGATATTTTGGGTAATTAATTGTTATTGCTTTCATTTCCTTTTCATTTTAGTTTTTCCCCAGGATTTAATGGTTTTGAATATTTCTCAGATTCCTATTTGCTCTACCATATTATTGTTTATTTTTTTCCAATTCATCAACTTTTACTTTTTGAGAGTATTAGCATATAAACTGATTGGGAAACCTTAATAGATGTCATACTTCCATAGGCATCTAATGGACCATCCCTTATGGACACATACATGCATGGGGTAATAGATGCTAGACAACTTAGTAAGCATGATTCAATCACCCTAATTTTAAGTAGTACATTTTTGTCAATATTCTATATATATTGGTGCTAGTAATCATTCGGAGTAGTTCCATTGTTTGACTAATCTATCAATTGAGATGCTAGAAATACCTTAAACTAAGATATGTTGGATAGTTTAAAGCCAGAATTTCTTTGAAGGAGTAGGAATTACCTTCCTTTAATAATTTATAAAGACACAATTTGTTAGAAGTTAACATGTTTAATTTGATTACGATGTCATAGAGATAAAACATTGTGATTCACAGATCTTGCACATTTGCAAAGTAATGGCACCAAATGAATTTTCTTCAGCTAGGTTTTGAGATGAAAATCAAGAATATGTTAGTGTTGGTTGCTTATATTATATGATACCCCTTCTTTCCAAATTGTACTTTGAAATAGTACAATATATGCATGTCTTCTGTTTGCCCTTTTGAGAGTTGGCACGGTCTGTGTGCTGAAGCTGTAACTCTTAAAGCAAATTTGATTTGGAGATATGGAGAATTTTCTTGAACCTTTTTTTTTTCCTCTGATGTCAACTTGAGAAAGCAAATCCCAATTACTTGAGGTTAAGGTACATGTATCCTATTTTACATGTAGCTATGTATGGAGGCATATTATCTTCCACTTCTTGATCGTCATGTTTTGCATTACCTTGTTGTCAATCTTCTTTGCTCTTGCCCTTGGTGCCTTAAATTTGAATGAAATCACTCTTCCTTCTTGTTCATCTCCAATGAGCATAACTGAGATGAACCATTTTAGACAACATTTTCTTATTTGGTTCTCGATTGGCACCAGTTTTTATTTCTCATATATGCATTTCTTACTACTACTTGTCTTTCTATTCCTACATCATTTTATTTTGATGGGTTGATTCCAAGTAAGCTTCATAAATCGCTTCCATTTCTATTTAATGTTGGCCATCTTTCTTGTTGTACAACAGCATTCAGTTTATATGCTCTTTATTGTTGAAAAATTACCTGTATGCCTTAAATTTTTGTATTGTTCTCACCACTCTCCCTTCTTTTGCAGCAGGAAATTATTAATTTTATAATTGCTATAATTTGCAGAAGATAATATATCAGAATTATTAATTTTATAATTGTTATAATTTGGAATGTCAATTTTATTGAATAAGTGCTAATGGTTATTTTTATTTGTTTTTTTTTTTTACAAATTGCTTTTGCGTGGGCTATTGTGGATAATTATTTTTGTGTACGAGGAACATTTGTTCTGTATATGGAAGACCTTATTTTTGTACAATCCTTTGTTTTGAAAATCCAGTATTTTTGTATGTAATATTTAATTTAGATGGATTACACTTGGTTGGTATGAATTTATATGATATTTGGAATATGATGTTATTCAAGTTTTTGGATAGTTGACAATGAAATAGGTATTATTGATAATGGATTTAGATTATAATTGATAGACGTATTATTCTGTATATGTACAGGTTACATGTTTCATTGATAATGGAATGCATATAATTTAGAAATTAATAAAAAATATTCAATTTGTGCATTTTAAAAAAATTAATAAATAGAGCTTTTGGTGACTAAACATTTAGTAGCCAAAAAATAAAAAAGGGACTTATTGGCGACTAAACAGTTAGTAGCAAAAAAAATAAAATAAAAGTTTTTGGCGACTAAAAAATTAGTAGCAAAAAAGGGGTGCCACGTTTTTTGCGACTAAAAAATTGGTAGTTGAAAAACTAAAGATGAAAATATTTTCTTTTTGGCGACTAAATATTTTCTTTTGGGCAACTAAATTTTTAGTTGCTAATTGGCAACTTTCGGCAACTAAAAAAAAATAGTCGCCAATTCTTTTGCCGACAATTAGTCAACGACCAAACGGGCAACCAAAAATTTTAGTCGGCAAAAATTTTAGACGACTAAAAAAATGACTTTTGGTGCTAAAAATTTAGTCACCAAAAATGTGATTTGTTGTAATAAATTCTTGAATTCCCTTACAATTCCTTCAATTTCCCTATGTTTCTTCAATCTTGAGCTTTTTCTTCTTTTTCTTTTACTTGTCTCTCTTCTCTCTAGAATTTTCTTTTCCTTTCTTTTGTTTAGTCTCTCTCAACTAAGGTCTATATACTTATATATATATATATATATATATAAATAGAAGATATAATATGATATTTTCCTCTCAAATGCTACAGCACATATTGTTGATTGTATGCAACTCTGCAGCAGCAATAGCAGCAATACTACCTCTTAACAGTAGGTAATGGACATCGGCATCAGACCATATACAGATCTTCTTTTTTACCGCAACCATTAGCACTCTTCTCGGTAAACAAATTCAGCTGATTAGGAAACAGATTGAGAAATAACTCTACAATTAAGCAATATAACAGAACAGATACCATACAGCACCAAAACAACACAGATCAGCACCAATTCAACTCAGCAACAAGAATCAGAACTGAACAAAATAGTAACTCAGAACAGGACAAATCAGAACAGATTTGGGCACCCATGCATAAGACAACCAGCCCTGCAGCTGCCCACACAGGAGAGCCAACTGGAGATGCCAAAACAAAGCAAACTAAACAGAGCATCTGATGCAAAAGCCACCATTGAGACACCAAACCTACTGCAATACAAAGCAACAATCACAGCACATTCAAAGCAGACCACTCCACAAACAGCAGAAGCTAACCACAAACAGCAGCCACCTTCCTGAAATTCCAGCATACAGCAGCAGCACAGACCTCAGCTCCCTAATGTATTCAGCAGCCCAGACCAGAACTGCTTCATTCACTGATGACTGAATCTCCACCAAAATTCCAACTTCATCAATCCACCCAGCCAATGAAGATCACACTGTGAGGTCCCCCACTGAACAACAAAGCTAACTATTAACCTCCACCAAGATTCCACTTTCATCAATCCACCCAACCATTGAATATCCCACTGCGAGGCCCCCCACTGAACAAAATGGGATATCCCAGCAGCAAGACACCCCAGAACTATACATCCTTATAGCACTGCCCTCGCATCTCCACCCAAACAGAATCTAATAAGCTTCAAGTTAAAGGGAAAATCATGCACTGTGAATTCATTATCTTTAAACACTTCCTTGAACCACACAGCCATTCTAAACTTTATCCTATCACACAGTATTATTATTGTGTCGTTAAAGTCAAGTGATGCTAAATTCTTAAAATATATAATATGTTGTCATTGTGAACTAAACTCTAAACTAGGAGTAAAGTTTCACCTAAACTATACAAAGGCAAATCCTTTTAAGTTCAGAAAGACTTTGTTGTGTAAGCAATTTGCGAAGAAGCATATTTATGAGCATCATTTATTTATTTATTTATTTTGTGACATAAATGCAATTTTTAGTTGCTAAAAATTGTTTTTATATTTTTTGTTGCAAGTTACTTAATTGGGATTTTTGTTGTAGAAAAATTTAAGTAGATGTTTTCCTGACTAGTTTAGTGACCAAAATTATATTTCAACAAATATTTATTATTTTTTATTGAAATTATTTTCATAGCAAAAATTAAAAATTAAAGTAGTGTTCATATACTGTTAGCCACAACATGCAAGGACAAATGTTTGAGGCCTCATCAGGGCAAGGAATTAGGTGGGAAATATTTGAGTTTTCATTGAGTTATACATTTACAACGGCAATATAAAGATTAAGAATATTATTAATACAAGTTCAATTCTATATGAAGTCTGTAAAAGGGTGTGCATACAACTTGGCTAAGCCTTCATCAATAAAATTGGCCTATCCATAACAGAATTGCAGAAGATGATGCACGTTTCTGAAGAAGCTAAGAAACCTGCACTTCTTCTCTCCCGCTTTTGCCCCATAATAAAGTGAACAATCCACCTATAATCAGAATCGCTCCTATCACACTGAAATTAATAGCAAAGTTAAAAGTACACACATATATAGATATACTTAGTAGAAAAAGATTTAATATGTAAAGAATTTTTTAGTAAATACCTTCCTAAATGCACACTTTCTCCTAGTATTATTAATCCAAATAATATTGCTAAAATCATTGACAAGGGGCTGAAGGCAGTGACGAATACCGGGCCCTTGCTCTCTATCAACATATTTTGAACATATGTAGCTAGACCAGATACAACAAGACCCTGCAATCATCAATAAATAAAGTCGACAAAAAGGTTAGTTTGTAACAAATTAAAAATATGGACTTGTAAAGTAATGAACAAGTAAGTTACTACTGGTTCTACTCACAACATAGAAGTATGAAAGTAGTTTTATGTTCCACCCAATGCTCCATGAAACTTTACGTCTTACTTCTGAAGCCAATGCAACCCCAGTGTTAATAATAGCTCCGGTCAAGCAAACGAATGCCGTGAGGGCAAGGGGTGCAGGGTATTTCATAACAACTTTTCCCTAAAAATAAAAAAATTAAAATTAAAAAGTCAATAAACATGAAGATATTGATTTGCTCTGTAAAAAATTAATGAACTAATAAATTTTGCTCAAGCATGCTACGATATGTAACTATAATCCTATAAAGAGATAAAAGCTCTCAAAGAAACCTTAAACTGATAATTAGATCTATTTGTGGATGTTATTAAATTTTATGTATCTTATAAAATCAGTAGTTCTAAATAGTTTTTCAACCTAACCACTAGGGTAGCAGACCACTAAGCAAATTCAACCCACATAATATTTATTAAACTCACGATACTAATTTATGAATATTTCTTAGGTCTAAACAAGTATGTTATACAGAAAGTTCCACTTACATCGAATCTTAATATTTCTTAGGTTAGTGAATTTTTTTTTATCTCCAATTTGGAATGACACAAAAGTTATGCATATTAAAGAGCATTCATGTAGCAATTTTCTTTTTGTTCAATGGAGAGTAACAAATGGTTAAAGCAACAAACAATCACAACATCAATAAAACAAAAGAGTTTTAGCAATAAAATAACATAAATAAATGAATGAAAACTTTACCGATAAAATGATGTAGAGAACATATGAGACCACTGAAATGAACACATAGGTAGAACCCGCGATATAGTCCACTTTAAGCCCGGATTCTTGTTCACGAACATCCGAGTGGAATGATGAAGATATAATAGGGCCACTATAAAGTCCTATAATTATGGCGCCTCCTGCCATAATTATAGTACCTATCAATTTTGCCTGGCTGCGCCTCTGATTAAGCCTAACTGCCTCTAAACTGAATATCAATTCCGAACAATATAAAAAAAGAAAAAAAGAAAAAGAAAAAAGAAGACGCACCCACAAGTGAAAAAAAAAAAAGAAAGTTGTTCGTTTAGCAAACAAAATTGAACATAATATGTAAATTTGAAATTAATAGATGTAAGTTTTAATAAAGTTACAAAACATACCTAAAAATCCAAGAAGCAACGAAAGTCAATGCAGGACGGACACCAGCCATACATGACAAGAAACTAGCTGGTGTTTGTTTGGATCCAGCATATAGAAAATTCTGATCTAGACCTGGTCTGATCCATAAATTTAAGGTTTATTAGTATTTAAAACTCTAATGATTTTTTCTCACTATGATTTTCACACTAATGTACTTACTCGAGAACTCCTAGAGCTAAAATCTGTAGGAATATCCCCATCGTCATGTTGGGCAATGAATGCCTGTTGACAAAAACAAAAATATGTATATAGAAGTCGTAAGTTTAAATTTTTTTGCTATGCATATGCAAGTTTTTCTATTGTATACCAAAAACTAAATACAACAGAATAAAAAACAAAACATTAATATTTAAAAAAAAAAATTTATGCAATAAAAATTTGAGGAAGGATTCAGCTACAATCTTAAACTGCTAGCCAAGACAATCAGAAGAGATACAATCAATAATGTGAAGAAAGAGCAGATCACCTTCTTTTATACTCTAATTTTTCTTGGAAAGTTTGGCTGGAGGTTATAAAGTGGTGGGGTTTGAAGCAGGCGCACAGGTATGGGTGTTAGAAACTAGTGTACATGTACTTGTGTGAACATAAATTGTGTACAGAAAATAATTTGGAGAAAACAAAGTTAAGATTTTAACAAAACTTTCAAGTTTTAGAATTTCAGAATATAAAAAATAATAGAGATATGCCACATTTGAAATTTGAACAGAATGTTACAATTGCAAATACAAACTTACAGTGCAATAAAAAAAAAAAAAAAATCAAAGAGTCAGAAATTTGGGTATGAGGCTTGGCTGGAAGAGGAGGGTATTTATAGCCATCAAAGTGGCTGTTTGCAGCAAAAATAGACATAGCCGAGAACAAATAGACGTGATCACAGAGAAGGAAGGGATGCAACACAACAATTCAGATTTGAAATTCAAATAATTAGATACAAAGTAACCCGGACCTTACATTTGAGTGAGTGGGGCAGCGGTAGCGCATGGTGTGTCTTTTTATCTAACTCACTCTCCTACACAAAATTGGGGTGTCTCTTGGAATCCAAACCCAAATCCAATCCTAGAGCTTATAAACTCATCTAGCTTTCATAGTTTTCCTATAGTATGCTTGCACCAACACTTCCTTATGGAGGTTACTTTGACGTCAATTTTTCATTCGCTCGTAAATGATTTTATCAAACCAATTAACAATACTAATCACCACACAACATAATACATGTAACCACTCAGACCAATCTCAATAGGTTCGTGGGTCCTACCTCAATATTGGTTCCAAGTAGGCCAAATTTCAAAGCATTCCCAACATGATATCAACAGCATAATTAAAAAAAGAAAAAAAAAAAGAAGTAAAGTATGAGTACAGTAAGGTATGTTCATAAAAAATAATTTATTTTTAATTTAAAATAATGTAAAATTGGTTAAATATTTTAGTTTGTTGAGATCAAATTTACAAAAAGTAAAGTATAAATCAAAATTAAATATCATTATGTTAATTAACTTACAAACAAAAATTTGATTTTAAAATAATGCTAACCATAAAAAAAAAAAAAAAAAAAAAAAATAAAAATGTCCTCTTTCTCTCTTTATGTATGCTTTTTCCTTAGGGCATACCCTAGTGTTTTCAACGTGTGCTATTAATTATATATAGTATTTATTGTTCTAATGCGCTTGTTTGTTATCATTTTTTTTGGGGAATTATGTAAGTAGTCTTTATATTTTGTTTATTGTATTATTTTGATCTCTATAATTTCAATTAATTCGATTTTAAACATGAATTTATGACTTTATTTCAATTTAATTCAATTGATTACAAATGTTAACATTTTTAAATGAAAAATACACAAATAAGTTGCATGTGTCATACTTTTAGGGGAAAGATTATGAGTTTGCTAAACTCGGTTTGTATCAATTTGGTGATTAAATAACCGAGGCAGCCACGCGCATCGCGCGCCTCTTGACGCCAGACAAACGGGCACGCCAGCCAAGGCACTCACGTGCCTCGCCATCATATCTGGCACGCCTTTTGATGCATCGGGCACGCCTTTTGATGGCACGCCTTTTGACAGATTGGGTACACCTTTTGAGGGCACGACTTTTGAGGGCTCGATATCTACATCCATGTATATCTTTTGGGCAGCCTATGTACACACTCATACAGTGTCTTCTACACCGGTCAGCTTTATCAATCCCTTTTCAACCTCAAATAGGTTTCTATCTTCACATCTATTTGAGTTTGAGGGGGGGTTATACACAGTATCATGTATAAGTCGCCCATGGCGCACTCCCTAAGTCACCCCCTTGGTGCACCACCACAATTTTCTACAACGGTCCGACATGACCCCGTAAACTGTCTTCTACATCGGTCCGGCATGACCTCGTAAACTGTCCTGCTACAACGGTCCGACATGACCCCGTAAACTGTCTTCTACAACGGTCCGACATGACCCCATAAACTGTCTTCTACAACGGTCCGACACGACCACACAGTGTCTGCTCCATCGGTCCGGCATGACCTCGTAAACTGTCCTGCTACAACGGTCCGACATGACCCCGTAAACTGTCTTCTACAACGGTCCGACATGACCCCATAAACTGTCTTCTACATCGGTCTGACACGACCACACAGTGTCTGCTACAACGGTCCGACATGACCCCGTAAACTGTCGGCTACAACGGTCCGACACGACCATACCGTGTCTTCTACAACGGTCTGACACAACCATACAGTGTCTCCTATCCCATTTTTAATTTTATTTGTCAGTTTATTTTTCTGTTTTGTTACTCTCTCCAAACTCAAGTTGGCTAGTACCTATCCTCCTTGAGTTTGAGGGGGGCTGTTAATGTAAATTGTAAATAGTAAATCACCACTACCACCCACTCCACCTACCACCTCCACTACCACCCACTCCACCTACCACCTCCACTTCACCTACACCTACTACCACCTTCTCTTCTATATATAGGAGTTGTAATACATAACAACATAAATCAATCAATAATATACATCAATTTATTTTACGGTTTTCATGATGGTTTTCATGAAAATTCTTCATGAAACCTAGCATTTCCCAAAAAAAAAAGGTGCTGCTGTCTAGTTTTGCCCTGACGTTGTACTCTTCTTCTTTAGTTAATATATTATCATTTCTTTGCTAATCGAAAAAGAAAAGAAAAAAATGTGAAGAATGAGAGAGAATTACTTAGAACTAGTTTTGGATATGTACTATGCATGAATTGTGTTTGCAATTTACTTTTATATAGATGTTTTTTGAATGAGTCGCATATTTTTCTACAAATCACTAAAAATGTAAGTTGATAAATTTAATTTGAAAATATTATATTAGTGATTTAATCAATTATAGTTTATTTTTCATGATAATTATGATATTATTTTTTCTAAGCAATTACATAAGAACTTTAGAGTTGAAGTAAATGAGCACTATTGAGATAGTCGTAAATCATAGTTACTGAGATAGATTTTAGGCATTTCAAAATTTTTTATTTAAATGTAATTTTTTTTTTCAATTATTGTAATATTCTTTCTAATAAAATGATTTAGATCTTATAGAGAAGTCCATATTTTTAGAGTTATAAATTTCCTAGTCATGCTACTTTTGAAAATAATAATTTATGCATTATATAAAAAATATGCAAATTAAGACTTTAATAATCTATTAAATAACTCAAGTTCCATTCTTTACCTATGATCATAAATGTTAATAAATTTTAATGAATTTTGTATTATATCATCTAGATGTTCCTATTTTCAGTTTCATGAATGAATCCCTAAGGTGTACATATAAATTATAAATTAGGATGTTCGTACTTTTGAATGATATATATAATTTGATTAGTTGGAAGCAAATTTATCACGAATCCGTTGATGTTTTTATCTGCTTCTCTATTTTTTGTTTAGTTTGTCATTGCTCACTGTTGTGTTTTGAATGTTGTATTTTATTATTACGTTATTTATAAAAGAAATTGCTAATAACAAAAATAAAATTATTCTAGAATAAAAGAAGAGACAGGTAAAACTATGTACCTTTGTATGAAGACAATGGGTAACAACGCAATTGATGCTATTATGTTTCTAAAACATGATAGCATCGAGAAATGCATGCCCTCCGACAAAGCGGCCTTGGTGATGATTGTATTCCCCACATTGACTAGTTGGAGGAATACAACACCAATCCACGGCAGTGCCTTCCGCAGCCTTTCTATCCATGATGTTGCCATTTGGCAACCAACTCTGAAATACAAATGACAATGAGAGAGAGTCAACAAAAAGCTATATATATAATAAATTGATTGTGTTAGCAAATGATGAAATTAAACACTTCAGCACTACAAAGCTATATACTTACGTGTAGGTCCTAATAAGTGAACTTATTATCTAATAGGTCCTATGAGAAAAATTTGTCATAAAAAAATGTCACTAATTGTAAGTTTTAACGACAATTCATAAAAATTATGACAAAAAAAATGATTAATTGTCAATTTTTAGCGACATATATAAAAAATTGTCACAAAAAAATTATATTTAACGACAATTTTACTAAGACTTATTTTTAATAGGACTTGATGAGAATTAAGTCCACCTATTAGGACCTATTGGTAGTTTACCCTATAATAAACTGATTGTGTTAGCAAATGATGAAATTAAACACTTCAGAACTACAAATAATCAATGTCAAAAATTAACAATGTCAATCATTATCATTACACTTTGTGAATATCAATACCTAGATATAGTAGTGAGAGTCAGTGGAGTGTGGTGAGAGAGCTAGGAATATATATAGGGGTATATGTAGAAGAAGAAGGTTAGGAAGATAAAAATTGGGGACATGGTATGGGAATGGAATCCTCTGGAGTGAAAAACTGTTCAAGTCATCATGGAGTAGTTTTGCTGGCTAGAGGACACTTGTTGGAAAATAATAGTTTCCAGCAACTTTAATGTGAAACTAAAGTGAGACCTAACCATCGGTTGAGGTGAGTTTAAGTGATTTTATATTCTCCTAAGTGAGAATGTTACAATACAAAAATAATAAGCCGAAATCATTAGGTTGTAAATGAGAATTGTCTCATAAAGTGGGCATCAATAAAAGTTGAGCTTAGATTTGGACTTAGTATTGGTTTGGATTGAGTATAGGCTTATGTTTGTGCATGTGCTGAGTTTGGTCTTGGACTTGGATCTAGTCTTAAGCATGGGCTGAGCTGTGTTGTGTTAGGCTTAGCTTGTAGGTGTGTT